GAGACGAACCAGGTCGACGAAAGCCAAGGGGCCAGAAAGGCGACTGTAACGGTGCACTAGGTCCAGGGCGCCGTTTGACCAGATGAATGCCTCCAAGGTCACGTGAAGCGCGTGCTGCTCAGTGAGGACCTCAACGGTGGCGACCTTAGCACGTACTATGGTGTCGGAACCTATGATGTGTACAGCCACCGGACGTTGAGAACACCAGCCAGCTTCAGAGTTCATTTCGTTCAAAACGAACGAAAGCTGCGTCGGGAAACGATGGGGGATGGGCACGGAAGCAGATACTCGATGAGATTGACGGTCGTCATCGGCGGAATTAATGGCTGCCAAAGCAGAGCAAGCCATGTTGAATACCTTGGACATGCGGAACTTGGAGTCTTCATTATGGAGACGAAAATTCTCGAATTCACCAGCTCTGTCGTCGAACCCTGTCGCTTCTTCTCTTCGTCGATTTTCGCTGCGCAGCCACGACGGTACTTCTCCACTTGTTCCTCCATTTCCCTGAAATGGGCACTATTATTCCTCCATTTCCCTGAAATGGGCACTATCATCTTCAACTTCTTTTATGCTACTCAATACCACTCACAACAAGTCTATGTCTTTGACCAACCGGTCCCCGGGGAACATTTTCATTATTCTGTTTTTTTTGTAAAACGGGTTTTAAGCCCCCGCTTAATCAGGCATTCTACTTTCCTACCAAAAGAAAGGCTACAGTGACGTCTCTATAAACTCACGATTTGAAGAAAGAAGAAACAGCATCTGGGCGACGATCAAAAGAAGAAAGGAGACGCGGACGACTTCGCAGCTGCAAAAATTGACAGCTGCGTGACCAGATCAAAAAGAGGGTTACTGTAGTCTTTCTTTGGAGACAACTGCCACAGTCATCTTCGCCTTTTTGATCTTCGAGGTGAAATGACTAACTCGAAGTGGCCACATTCGAGCTAGTTCGAAAAATCAAAGGGGAAGACTCTTCCTAAGTCCCGACATGAGCGAGGGGTGAACCACTCGCTGCTACCAGTAAGCGAACGCCACGCAATGGAAGCTGCACCAACACCTGCTTCGACACCGATTAGTACTAAAGTTTATCTGACATGTAAGTACATGAGTAAACGCGATAAAGCTCAACATATTACGTATATAACAACGCGATACAGACAATACGTAGAACAAAGTGTGAAGCACACTGAAGTAGGCACTACGAGAATACGATATAACAAAGATTGACGGATAAGCAGGCAGGTCTGGATGTGACGGGGGAGGGATTCGCCTGGTAGAGTAGAGAAGGATAGGCGCGGACCTCGGTCGTTGCTGCTGGTCGTCTCCTCGATCCAGCTGACTGTCGCTCCGCCCTGAAAAGGCATGAGTCATCGTGGGATACGGTCGACTACACCAACACTGCTTACAATGGCTGCGTTGGTTTAAATGTTGGCGTCAGTTATAAAGTACGGTACGCATTGTGATTAGGAGCAATGTATTTGGCGACTAACATTATGTGGGGCCTGCAGCGTTTCAGTGCGGCCTCAGCAGTACTCGATGGTTGTGGCCTTGAAAAATGGAAGTGCAGCTCTATCGCGACTCTGTCGTTACTTTTCGGACTCGCCAGTGAAGACACTGACTCACAATTTGCCGAAATCTGACGTCAAATTGAATGTTAGTTCATTTTGCATCTGTAATAGGTATTTAACTGCACATTCGATTTTTATCTTAATATTGTGCTCTTTCGGTGTCATAGCGAGTTTAAATATCCCTCCGAATGAAAAGTCTTCTGCAATTGGTTGTGAAGGAAGATAGACTTGGAGAAATTGGGCTTTCTACGAGTCTGTAGTTCTTCAAAGAAATTTTTGGTAGCCCTCCATGTTGTACATCATCTGAACCAATTTTTCCAGTTTCACTTATTACAGGGTTGGGTGCAAAAGTCTCATAGGTGTGGAGCGGTCACATTCCTTCACATTTCGGATGGATTATCTGCCGAACAGATCCAGGTTGTTGTGCCAAGGTCGTCGTGTCGTTCAGGTAAATTGCTTGATTATGCAGTTCTTCTGTTATAAAGCTGATGGGATCATAAATGTGGTCTGATAGGGTACAATGTTAGCTCTTCTCCAGTCTAGATTGCCTACAGTCAGTGTTTTATAACAGTTTGCATGGGCTTTTGTTATTCCACTGTTTAGAAAGGTTCAACCTAGTCGCCAGCCTTGTGGTACTCATTGCGCTTGCCAGTAAAAGACTGTTAGACTGAATTTGGTCACCTCTGCTGAAGCTAAGCCATCAGGAGGGAGAGAAACGTTTTTATGACAACCATTTTTGTACTCTGCTGCTAGTTTTGTTATTTCTCCGTGAGATGGTCCACGCCAGCACTTTACTTTTTCAGTCCCCGTGGGCTCCGCTGTCTCCATCACAGGACGTTGGCAACCTAGCTCAGGCTCACAACAGGACTCGGAAGTCCTAGCAAGCGAGGTTGAAGTGCTGGCTACTGATGACGAAGTAGAGTTCATTTCAATTTCCAGGTTTCATTTCATTGTTCTCATCAGGTTATGTTCAAAAGAAGGTCTGCGCATCAAATTAACGCGGAATGTGCCTTTGATAAAGTTTGGGACCATTGGTATTAGGCGCCAATTTTTGATCATTCAGCCAATGTATTCGTCCTTATCTCCGGACCAGCTTCGTAAAAAGATTCACCTACGAGCACGCTCTCCAGCATTTGCTTCTTTGCTTCGATTGCGGTCAAAGTTGCTTTCCAAGACACATGACTACTTTACGGTGAGTGCTCTCTTCTGAAGTGTTGTTGACAAATTCAAGACAGGTCGATCAAGTGGTACATGGAATGCCCTGATAGTGCAGTGTTGAACACTTGACAGCCAGTTCTTCTGTCTCTACAAAGTTGGAAATAAAGGCCTCAGATGCGCTTGCTGGTCACTCATTTGACTTGCCAACGGACGCGTCTACGGTCACTTGTTGCCTACATGACAAGAACTAGCATGCTTAACTACTGCGCCTCTGTTGCCTGCCTGTTGTAGAAAGATTTCATTTGCTCTCCGGTGAATGGTAGCATGTTAAGTTTTGCTGTCTGCGCTACTG